TTTTAATAAACTACATTAATCTATAATTATACTTGATATAATTTTACTACAATTATTTAAAAGTTACTTTAAGTTCATTTCTAACAATGTAATCATTCAGCGGTTGCCAAATATAAACAAATATGGCTGATGTAAAATCTTACTACGATCTGAAAACGTCACCTAAATTCGGCGATTCTGATTGGTTGCAGTAAATTTTTTATTTTGGCGGGATTGTGACGTAGTATGTTGACCTAGATCGACCGTAAAAATAGTTAGTTTAATATTAGATAAAAAACGGCGACTGTCAAATTATTTTAAGCAACAATATCAATCAAATAGAGGAAAGTATAGATAAACTTGAAATTGCATCAGGTAAAACACACAATTTTCTCCATGTCATATACAATTTTTAATGTTTACCAGACGTATCTCCATCTTTAGCGCAGAAAATCACTGGAGTTGTAAGACATAAACATGATTGACCTTCACCTCTGAAATCTCGCGTGAATGATGAAAAACAAAACATCGCCGAATTTAGGAGAACGCCGAATTTGGGTCACGGTAGGATATCTAATATATAGAACTTTTACGGTAAGTCAAAAGTATTTGTGGGTCAAAATCAAATTTAAGCTCTAGCCGTATGTGTGTTACTTACGGCTAGCCAGGACACACTGTATTGGCTAGCCATATGACACTTTTCAAAATTATATAGAAGTCGGAAATGCATATGTTATTTTATGTTTGGCCGGTACGGCTAGTCACTTCCTTGGCTGTTATACTAATGATAATATGAAAAAGGCAAAGCCTCAAAGCGAGCTCGATGTACTTTTTACGTGAAATAGTATGAAATAATCTCAAATGCAGTGGCGAGTGCGTGTGACGTCACACGTACTGTGTTAAATATGGCCCCGTCCCTGTCGTGAAATGAATAACGAGTTTTGAAAACGTTGATTAAACTTTGTTTATTTTATTTCACTCTATAATTTTTCAAGCAAAATAAAGATTATTTTAAGTGAAATAAATGTAAAACTTAAAACGTTTGCGACATTAAAATAGCGTACTTGATTTGTTTGTTTTGCACGTGCTGTTTGGCGCTACATTGTGACGTCACGTAAACAATACTTTAAACGTCTGTACAGCGTTAACGACTGAATAAAAGATATTGGTGTTCGGATTCATTTTCTTACTTAGACCATTTTCTTTCATTCTAGATAGTTTTCACAACAAAATTCGACAAAAAATTGTTTTTATTTATCAGATTTCAAACAAAATGGCGCCTTCGATTTTCATTTTTTATACACAGCTTCCGTTATTCTGGTTCCCTGTCCAATTATGGTTCCCATAGACGTGCGCGGGTGACCAGTCTACACTCCGTTTTCAGTCAGAATTCCTCAGTTTTTACCGTTACCTTTAAATTCGAAAGGTTGCGATGTGTCCAATTTGGTACTTTGGACGAAAGTTTTCAAAACCATCACTTAGCAGGTACTCGCGTTACGGTAAAGCTCGCTTTGCGAGCAGGCCCTTCGGGCCAGCTCGTCGAGCTCGCTAATATACAGTCTTCATAGTTCATAACAAATGAACAAATATCTCTGTGTCACATTTTATTTTATCCTGCTTCTGTCTACATTATCAGCTGGATAATGCCTTGTTGGATAAAGTTGTCTATTTCAAGTCATGATGTCTTATGATGATGCCACATGTTTAGCAGCAAAACAAAACTTCATATATTGCTTTATCAGGGAAAATATGAATAGAACCATTTAAATAATTTATAAATCTAAAAACATGATCAAAGTAGATAAAAGCAGGATAAATCAAATACATGGTTGATGTCAGGATAGCAGGAGGTTTATCCCGTTTTATGCAAAGGGAATGACTATAGCTAATGCCAAGATACAATTTCTGGCTCACCGGATAAACCTTCTCCATACCGACATCAGCCATGTATTCTCTATATATTTAAAAATGAGAAAAAAAAATTACTAATAAAAAGCATGACACTGCCTTTGACATTTTTTTAGCTTACATTGTTGTGTTGTATTCCTAGATTGTGATTTGAGTCTGAGTGAGAATAAGCTGGTATCTGGACACCACTGTCATATATCACGAGAGAAGGATGGCAAAATAACATTAACAGATACAAGGTATTTATAACGACTTATGTTTTTAGACCGCCACTGGAGGGTTGGGGCACAGGCACTAGACACAATCAATTTACCTATATATGATAATAATACTATTTCTTTATAAAGAATGAAGACCTCAAATGAGAAAAAACTATTGTAAACCAACAAGAACTGTGTAAAAATAGACCAAATCATTATTTTGTGTTTATTGTTACCTCTACAAATAATTTGTCCTTTCGTAAACATTTTTTACTTCATCAAAATCCCTCATATTGCTCAAAAATATGAGCAAGTTTCCAAATTTCACTGAAATTTAATTGCATGTGGCTTCGGACATCCAAGCGATGCGTGTAAACATGGAAAGTTCTGGTCAATTCTTACGAAATCAACGATTAACTGTTAAAATTCCCAGCAACTTGTTAACAGTCAAACTGGGAAGCCTTTACTCCTCTGTCATGCTATCCTGCTGTCATATTTTCCATCTATACACTGACCAAACAATGGAGTGTGGGGTCATTGTGTTTCTAGTTAAAATTATGATGATTGACATTATCTGAAATGGTCTGAAATTAATTCTCCATGTATATACATATATAGTTTCATACCATGCCATTTTTCTGTATAAAGAAATTAACTCTTGTAAAAGGGTGCATTTTAATTCAATTTGATAAAAGATACCCTCTTTCCCCTAATTTTTTGGGCGGAAATGAATAATAGTGCATTTTTTTACCTCTTCTCTCATCATAATTGTATATGCATGTACAAGTAGTACTGTTTCATTTAACTTTAATATTCTACATTCAATATAATTTTACAAAATTTAGAAATTAACATTTGTACATGAATATATATTTAAAATGGTTATAATAGCCTTATTACTTATTATGAACATACCATTTTGCATCATCATCAGATTCTGTTATATTTAAAACAGAATTATTATTTAATTGCAGTACAAATGGTACCTTGCTGAATATGACATATAAAGTTACTAAAGGAAAGGTATGTATTTGATCAGCTAGTTTTAGTAAAGCTGGGAAGTCATCATATAACCAAAACAGTGTTTGTTTGTTTGTTTGATTGGGGTTTATGTCACAACGAAACAGTGTAACGTAAAAAATCAAGCCCAAAACAAAGTTTAATTGATCTGTCATGATTTACATCAAATGTGTCAATATTCAGCTTAAAACTGATGAATTTTTACTTTAAAGGGACTCCACTGAGGTTTTTTGACATGACAGGACTGGAAATAATTTTTTGAGTTTATTACACCATTTGATGTAGATCTATACTAATAACTTATGTGCAGAATTTCAGATCATTAGCTTGCTCCGTTTTTCCAGAATAATTATTATGATAGTGAAAAATGACCCAAAATTGAAAAGCGTTTAAACGCTTTTCATTCAAATCGGACTGAGAATAGCACAATCATATGATTTTCAATGTATTTCTTCTATATTTTTGGTTATATTTTATAAATATTTATGTTTTAAGTGCTAATGTTTATCTATGTGAAAAATTAAAATTTCATGTTTTTAGACTTATAAACCTCAGTGGAGTTCCTTTAAGTTATGAAAATATTGCTAACTATTACTAAAACAATATAAAAGATTACATTTAAAATCTCATCATTCATGACTGTATCTTTAAATTTTATTAAGAAAGTAACTGTTAAATCTTCAGTGTCTGATTTTGTACAATTTTTTTATTCTTGTATAATTGTAACACATAACAGTAAACTTTTAAAGCTGCATGCCTCAAAATGAGCCAAAATATTTCAAGAAAATAAAACTTGAGAAAAATGTATTATCATTTTTAAGAAAAATAAATTAAAATCCAGATTCAACTAATAATTTGCATGTTATGCGTGATTGATGAATTATTTTGCAGTATTTATTAGCGTATTTCTACTGCATGACTAATGCAGTAAGGGCTGGTTTTTTGCATATTTTGAACCCTTTTTTTATTGACGAGGATTGTAAATGCTGTTTGGATTGTATAAATTACTTTCCATGCTCACTTCAAATATTTTACTTTTAAATACATTTTCAAAATTTTAATGAAAATTAGCATAAATCTAGAGGTGCATGTATGCTTTTTTGATTAAAGACAGCTATTCAATAGTAAAACAAAATAAGCAAAAAGTCAATGATAATATATCAGTGTTTTTTCTTTAAATTGATGATGCTTTTATTTTTAATCTTTTAGACGAAAGAACTTCAGCATGGGGATGAGTTTTACATTGTTTTCAAGAAAGATAACGAGGAACTCAGTAAGTATCGCTTTTATATAGATTATGCCAAACTATCTTATTGTTTGAACTTTATTCAGAATATATGAACGTTATTTTATAGCATCTTTAATATTAAGTTATTGTTTGTTGATTATTTATTGAACAGTAGTTCGTAACAGACTTTTCAACAAACTTAATATGATGATTGACATTACTTTTGTCTGCTTCAGATTTGTTTTAATGTCTAGCTTAATTTTTATTTGTATACCTGCATAATAGAGCTCCAGGCCACAGTTTATACTGAATTTATGTTAGTTTGATTATGTAGGAAGCTTATCACTTATAGACACATTCTTGAATTCCATATGTAAAACATATGTGTTTCATATGTTTTGGAAAACATGTGTTTAATAAAATAATATGTAAAGTAATATATGTTTCACCAGGGTCTTATAATTATGTAAAACATAAGTGTGTTTTATTATGAGATTCCATAAGTTTCTAACCATATGTAAAACATGTGTTTTACAGTACATGTGGTGCATTTTTACCTAAGATATGTCAGTTGAAATATTGTTGTGATATTGTTACAGATGTTGGATATATTTTCCAAGATTTATCTGAACTGCAAAAAGAAGAAGGTACTCAAGAATATTCCCCACCTAATTTAATGGATGCCACCCTTGAAGGTAAATATTTTATTAGTATTGTATTTTCAAGTATTAATTTAGTAAGCTAGATAAATTTGATGTGCCTATAAGTACGTTTTATAGCTTTGCAATGCTAAATTTGTTGACTGGACCATGCTAAATATCTCAAATGGACTTGTCCATCTGTCAATCTGGACAGAACCATTCATCATTTTTAGGGAAATTTTTTAAAGTATATACTGACTGAGTGCAGACCATGATCAGATGGGGCAGGTTGCATGGCTAAGAGTTAATGGTGGCAAGGATAAATCTAAAATGATCATATTGTTTTGATCATTTTGACAGTTACAGATGATTGGATTGCTTTTTGCAAAACTTGAATAAGATGAATAGTATATTACATAGTATTTTAGCTCCTTGAAATTGAGATAAATGAAATGTTGAGATTTAACATTCACTGTTATAAAACTATTCATTGATGTAGAATTAGAGTTGCCATTTTATTTGTTTCCCTTTTTATCATAGTTTTATTCTAAAAATGCTGTCAAGTTTTTTCTCTATTCAAAGTATTATATTGCATGGAAAAAAGATTTGGCACAATTTCATAGATTATTTTAAAATTCAAGGGAACTAACTCTTATTTTACCAGACACAGACTGTAACTACATTTCTCCTGAAAGAGTAAACAATAAACGGAAGTCTGTTGATAATGCTGAAGAAGCCAAAGAACCCAAAAAAGCCAAAACTGAAGAGACTAGTAATGTGAAAGTAGCAGAAACTGAGGAAAGTAAATCAAATAAAGCCAAAGATATTGAAAGTAAAGAAAGGGGAAGTTCTAAAGAAGAAAAGAAATCTTCTGAAGTAGCGAGTGATGTTACCAAGGCAACATCATCTAAACCATGTATAGAGGAAAAAGATGATATTGAGGAAAACCTACAATGTATGATCTGCCAAGAAATAATGCATGACTGTATCAGGTAGGGTTGTTATTTCTCCCTTCATTAGTATGTACTTGGGCATAATGTCACTTCAGAAATATTAAAATTGTATACAGTTTCCTTTAAAATACCCAAATTGCATAATACACATGTATTCTGTTATAAGTACATTTTGTAGATCTAACTCAAACCATTGCTGCAACACTATAATTGATTCTTTAACCTGTATAGTAAATGGAAAATTTATATTTTTTGGGTATTTGTGCATAATAGGAATGTACCAGTTTGTGAGTGTTTCAAATTAGTAATTTAGGGGGTCAAGTCTGATGATAGGAAATTTCTGTGTGACTGTTGATCTTGGGCATTGAGTCTAATTATTTGCCTTTCACTGCTGATTCAGAAATCATTTGGAATAAGAAGTTGTTCACTTGTGGAGAAGTTGGTTATTGCTGGTAAGTTATCCAGAAATGCAGCAGGTGAGGTGGATATGACCAAAGTAATGTTAAATAAATCCAGCAAAACAAATGAACAAAGGGAATGAGTAAAATCATTCCTTAACAAAAGGAATAGGTAAAAGCCTTCCCTTTGTCATAAGAGTTACAATGCCATATGAGTTGCAACCATTTTGAACAAAGCCTTTTTTCATGCTTTAAATAAACCAAACTAATACCTCTTTTTACAGTCTACAACCATGTTTACATTCATTCTGTGCAGGCTGTTACTCTGATTGGATGTCAAGGTCACAAGAATGCCCTTCTGTAAGTGTTATTATGCCCCCACTTCTAAGAAGAGGGGGTATATTGCTTTGCAATTGTCGGTCCATCAGTCCGTCGGTCCGTAGACCAAATGGTTTCCGAGTGATAACTAAAGAACCCTTAGGCCTAGGAAGTTCAAACTTAGTATGGTGATTGGTCATGACCAGTAGATGACCCCTATTGATTTTGGGGTCAAGGGGTCAAAGGTCAAGGTCACATTGGCCTCTTAGGTAAAAACGGTTTCCGATCAATAATTAAAGAACCCATAGGCCTAGGAACTTCAAACTTGGTATGGTGATTGGTCATGACTAGCCAATGACCCCTATTGATTTTGGGGTTAAGGGGTCAAAGGTCAAGGTCACATTGACCTTGTAGGTAAAAACGGTTTCTGATCAATAACTAAAGAACCCTTAGGCCTAGGGACTTTAAACTTGGTATGGTGATTGGTCATGATCAGTAGATGACCCCTATTGATTTTGGGGTCAAAGGTCAAGGTCACATTGACCTCTTAGGTAAAAACAGTTTCCGATCAATAACTAAAGAACCTATAGGCCTAGGAACTTCAAACTTGGTATGGTGATTGGTCATGACCAGCAGATGACCCCTTTTGATTTTGGGATTAAGGGGTCAAAGGTCAAGGTCACATTGACCTTGTAGGTAAAAACGGTTTCCTGATCAATAACTTAAGAACCCTTAGGCCTAGGGACTTCAAACTTGATATGGTGATTGGTCATGATCAGTAGATGACCCCTATCGATTTTGGGGTCAAGGGTCAAAGGTCAAGGTCACATTGACCTCTTAGGTAAAAACAGTTTCCGATCAATAACTAAAGAACCTATAGGCCTAGGAACTTCAAACTTGGTATGGTGATTGTCATGACCAGCAGATGACCCCTATTGATTTTGGGGTCAAAGGTCAAGGTCACATTGACCTATTAGGTAAAAACGGTTTCTGATCAATAACTAAAGAACCCTTAGGCCTAGGGACTTCAAACTTGATATGGTGATTGGTCATGATCAGTAGATGACCCCTATTGATTTTGGGGTCAAGGGGTCAATACCATATTGACCCTGTATTTAATGACGGTTTCTGACCAATAACTCAACAACTCAAGTTGCCTTGGTTGATATTTTTATATTGAACTAAAAATGCTTTTGGTATACACATTTGAAGGTCTTATGTAATATAACAACTTGGCTGTCATTAATGAGGCCTACATGATTCATAAAATTTTTGCATATATTATTTGGTAAGATTTGTAATAACTTAAATTGCTGCACACAACCTATGGGGTCACAATAATTATTACATTGTGACTAGTCATGACCAGTAGATACTAGATAACCCTTATTAATTGTTTGTTCACTGGGTTAGAAGTCATGCATAATAACCTGATCACATGACTAATTGGCTGCCGATAGGGGGCATACATGTTTTACAAACATATCTTGTGTATATTTTGTAAATATTTTTTGTAGCTTGCCTCCAGATGAGTAAAATAAATTTTAATTATTTTTTTGAAATAAAATAGAGTTTATCTTTATATTTTTAGTTCGACTATTTGAATAATAGGGAGAGCTATTGTGAGTGGCCATCACAGTTTAGTTAAATTTTTAGATTAAGGTTTTATGTGAAAGTTGGTATCCTCCAAGACATATGAAGGGAATGGGTTGAAACTTCAAACAATTCTTCTGTATGATTATCTAACAACTTTCTTATTTTAGATATGTGATGAATAGAATATCATATTTGCGTAGATTTAATACTAAATTTACTGAACTGATTGAATAAATTTAGTATTAAATTATTCAAATATCTTCTGTTATCAGTAAAATATGATTATTTTACAGTGTAGAAAAAATGTGGAGAGGATCAACAAGAATCATATAGTCAATAACTTAATAGAGGCCTACCTTAAAGAGCATCCAGGTATGTTCAAGTTTGATTTGTTTAGATGTCTGTACATGGGGTAAGTTTTAAAACCATGGTTAAGTCAATTTGGCTTCGATTTTCAGGCGACGAAGTTCAGAAACTTATGCTGACGTAGTCGCTCAAATTGCCCCTTTGCTAGAGCTCTAGCAATGACATTATGACCAGATCTTTCTTAATTCTTTCTTCTGGTAATAGCTTTAGGTTATACAAAATTTATTTTAGTTCCAAAGTTGTAAGCTCATAGACACACAGCACTATAATCCATTCCTGGAACCAACAAGTACTAAGCAAGGATTGTAAAGTTTGTTGCTTTAGTTAATAACAACTTGCCTGTCAAGTTTGAGGTCAGATATCTATGCAAAGGTTAATTTATTATTTTAGTGGTGCTATGGCTGAGTGGTTAACGTGTCGGACAAGTAATTTAATGATTGCTAGCCGCATGAGTTCAAACCTCATCAGGGGCAAGTTGTTGTTTCCTTGAGCAAGAAACTTGTTTAATTTCTTTAAAAAGAGATATTTAAAATATTCTAATTTTCTTTGAGAATTTGATGGTTAATCTTTAATCTGCTGGAACTAAAAGTGATTAATCTTTACCACCAGTATAAAGCAAGGCCAGCTTGCCACATGCTCTTTATTATTGATAGCTCAATTTTTAATGTAATATTGAAATCTCTTAAAGAAGCTCCACTGAGGTCGTAAAGGCTAAAAACATTAAATTTCAGATTTGATCAAATTTAACAAAGAATTTGGCACATAAAACAAAAAGTATGCGAAAGATAATATAAGTTCATTTTTGGGACATTTTGTATAATGAAAATGATGTATTTTAAAAAATGGATTGAGCAAGTGATATGAAATTTAGCAAACAAGTTATTGGTCTTGACCTTCCTCAAATGGTTTACAAATGTTGAAAAATATTTCCTGTTATGTCCCTTTAAGCTAAGAATTAACTGTTCCAAACTCAACGCTGGGTCAGGCAAGTTCATTACTGTAACATAGGTCCAGCAGGTTAAAAGTGTAAAAAGTTATATATCTACTGCAAAATTTATTGTTCTTAATTTTAAAAATGAATACTTTCAAAATGCTTGTATGAAGTAAAAATGGTAGTTAATTGTCTTAAAAAAACAAATGGCACAATTGAAATAGCAAAGTAAAATTTTGTTTCGGAACATTTTATTCTGTTAACATACATTATTCATGTGTGTTAAATAACAGAGACATTCTGTTACAAAGTTTTCGGAAATCAGCAATATAATAATGGAACCAATATAATTTTACTGTTTTTAGATTTTATAAAAATATTTTTATACCATAACCCTCTCAGAGTTTGCCCATTACTATAGCAGATATCTTATGATATTTTTAAGGTAAAAGAAGACCTGCTGAAGATTTAGATGAACTTAACAAGAAAAACAAAATAACTAACGATATGGTAAGTCCTGCCAATAATTTGTTGCTTGATTTAATCCATTCCCTGCAGAAAAAAAAAATCTGTATATATACAGGATATTTGCCAAGGGTACTTCTAATAAAAAACTGAAATTATTATATATGATAATTGTATAATTATTTTTCATTTTATAAAACCTATACATATAGAAGTGGCATGTCCGAGTGGCTAACATGTCAGACTAGTAATTTAAAGATTGCCAACTGCATGGGTTCAAACCCGGTCAGTGGGAAACAAGTGTTTGAAATTTAACACTGATAGGTTAGTACTGGCTGGTTTCAGGAACAGATTGGAGAGTGTTTCAATAAGCTTATACATGTAGCTTTTAACACAATTGAACTAAAATAAATTTGTGTTAACTAAGAAAGTAAGAAAATGAAAAGAATAGAAATAAAAATGATTTTCCAACTGAAATGATTTTGCTACTGAATCTACCCATGTGACCAATGCAGCCCAAGATCAGCCTGCATGTCTGTGTCATCTGTTTATTGTCTGCACTGTTCACTTTTGAGTCAGTACATGTTTTGACATTTTCCCTTCACATAATGAATGGTTTTGTCCAGATTGAAAGGTGAACCAGCCCATTTAAAATATTAATTGTGGTAAGTGTTAAAAACCAATGATAAAATGCCCTGAAAAATCTATATATCACATATCATTCTTGAAATCCCCAAAGACTAATGTACCTGTATTGTAGGGAGTCACATGGTACATGGAGTGGAACTTTTCGGCAGAAAAATATTTATAAATATCTCAGTTACAATGTAAATTCCAAAGGTGCTTGAGACAAACTTTTTTTTATGTTCTATATTGGCTATACACTATAATAAGATGTCTTAACATACATATATAGGCCGATTATGTAAAGTATTTGATGATGTGACTAGTGCCTGTGGTAAATTCACTATCAAAAATTCAACATTATAGAGCCTGGTCAACCAGCACAGATGTGCAGGCTTGTCTGACTCGTTACTGGTGGCCAAGGCTTATCACTTTAGGCCAGATTAAGGCTTAAAATGTATTTGAGCCGCGTCATGACAAAACCAACAGCATCCGCGCAGTCTGATCAGGATCCATGCTGTTCGCTATCAGTTTCTCTACATGTAATAGCCTTTGTAAGTGAACAGCATGGATCCTGATCAGACTGCGCGGATGCGCAGGCTGGTCTGGATCCATGCTGGTGGCAAACGCACTATGTTGGTTTTGTCGTGACATGGCTCATTTATTGTGTGTTATTTACTTATAGTTGTATCCAAAGAATCTTGTGAAACAAGAAAGCAGTGACTATAGTGATGATGATGATAATAGTGATGATAATGATGATGATGGTGATGATAACTACGTAAATCCTCCAGTACCTCCAATATTTCCACCAGTAATTCAACAGGCACCATTATTTGGATTTGGTACACCAATATTTGGAGTAACAAGGTAAGATTAAGTTCTGATTTTGCATTAAAGGAACTCCACTGAGGTTCAAAATTCTAAAGATAAAAGAAAATAAAAATATTTTCATTAAAAACGATCAGCTGAGGCACTTAAACAAACGATCTGAAATTTTGCACAAACATTATTGGTCTAGATTTACATCAAATATGGCATTAATCTCGGAAAATTATTTTCAGTCCTATTATGTGGAGTCCCTTTAAGGAGAACACTTATTAGTTTTGGATGTAAAACAGATGTTAAAAGCTTTTTTTAGTTAAAACATATTTTTGAAGGCCTGATTGTGAAACTCATATAACTCACTTATGAGTCTTTTTCAAGGCACTTACCAGTATATTGGTGTGATATGAGGAAACGAGGTTGTTTTTGAATTGGTATGAGCCGTGCCATGACAAAACCAACATAATGGGTTGGCGACCAGCATGGATCCAGACCAGCCTGCGCATCCGAGCAGTCTGATCAGGATCCATGCTGTTCGCTTACCAACCCTATTACAAGTAGAGAAACTGATAGCGAACAGCATGGATTCTGATCAGACTGCACGGATGCGCAGGCTGGTCTGGCTGGATCCATGCTGGTCGCAAACCCATTATGTTGGTTTTGTCATGACGTGGCTCAATTATGTATTTGAATTGGAACTGTGCATTATTCTACACCAATGCACTCAAAATTGATATCTATTTCCTAAATTTCAAACTGTATATTTTTGTTATTTTTCCAATTTTAGAGCATATAAAACTGTGTGTCGTCAGTGCCCAGAATATAAGGATCCAGATACTGGGACGGGAGTTATAGGAGGAATAAAAACAGGTAAATTGTTCAAAGATGTTAGCATGTGTTTGTCCGGCATTTTAAAACTTATTAATATAATGCATTAAATAAAATTGTCAACTTATTGACATATTGCTCTTATAATATATAATTGCTTATAAAACGAGTTCATGTTTGCACTTGCGGTGCACCATCTCTTTTTTGTTTGCCTATGGATATAATGATATCCAGATATAACAATATAAATTTGGCGGTCCCCTGAACATGGTTGTATTTGGAGTATACTGTTGATACGGTATAAATAGGGAGAGTTATCCTACTCACTATGTGTTGGCATCAGAATCAATGTCACAGCTTTGTGAAGGGCTTTACATACTATTTTGCTACACAGGACTAATGTTTCACAAAATCCATCCTTTGAAAACAACTTTTTAAATGACCATTAACTCAACTTATTAACACAAGTTTATAACTTTGTCATGGAATTTATAATAGTCATGTATGTATTTTGACTGACAAGTTTTCAAAAGCTTGATGTTATTGCACAATCAAGTACTGAGATTGTGCAACAAGATCTTGTTCCATATTTCAAATTATCAACCCTCCTCATGCTAAATGTCGTAAATGGACTTGTCCATCTGTCTATCTGGACAAGGCTATTCATTATTTGTAGGGGAAATTTCAAAATATATATAGACAAAATAGTGAACATTGCAGACCATGATTGGAGTGACGGTACAGATTGCCGGCTGATCTTTGGTCTGCACTGGTGGCATAAGTGAATTCTCTAGCCACCAACATTTTATATTAGTTAACCTGATTTTAACTTGACTATATGTGTGGTGCTTTTATCACAGAAATTTATTGAAATCTATGTAATTCTTACCGAATATGTCCAATTTGAATAAAAGAATGTATTAATTGTGTATTTGAAGCTGCGTTCCCTACTAATAAATCAAGTAAAATTGGTATTTTCTTAAAAAAAACTGCCAGTTTTTTTTAATGACACTATATATTCATACTGTAACTATCTATGGTGTGTAGAATTTTAAACACAGCATATGTACTTTGTGTAAAGTTAAAATATGTTTATTTTATATTTACAAAAAGACTCTATAGCAATTACAAATATTTTCAAATATGAAATTTGAGCATAGTAAATTTCAAGCACATCTGGAACTATTCAATTATGAACTTAGGAGAATGTAGATGATGTTTTATTAATAAACACAAGGATGATTAGGAATTTTATATATTTTAACATTTTAGGAAAGAAAGATATTTTTACTATTTTCACACATGTAAAATATTTGGTCACACAAATTTTTACTATTGTCTGTCAGCATTTACACATGAGAATATTTTTTAAGTAAAGTAAATAAAACTGAATTGCATGATTTTCACATAAAGCTGCATTTTGATTTGTCAAAATAAACTAGTATTAAAATGTTTATTCAATGAAGTTACATTTGTACTTTAATGCCTTTAAAGTTTATTGAAAATTCTTCGTAACCATGAATCTTAAATCAGTGCATTTCTTTATATTTATCTACAGTTAGATAGGAAAATAGGAAAAATAACCCCACATATATCAACCCGAAACACCATTATTTTACAGCTCTTAATAATGTTAAGAATTTGATCACTGGAGCTGGGAACCAGGACAACAACACTGCAACTGCTGGTACCACCAATACTTCTGCTGAACCTGCAAGCTCAGGAGGGGAACCATCCACTTCTGGTGAGACCTCAGGAACAGGAGAACCAGCAGAAGTAAAACCATCTACCTCAGGCGATGGAGGTAATAGCTAGCTTTAATATATAGAGGACATTGATTGAGTGTATGTTCAATACTGAATTTATTGAACAAGTTGAATAAAATTTCATAATGCAAGCCCCTGGCGAGCATAATATTACTTAAGTCAACAAGTTCAATAATTTTAGAAATGAATCTACATGAATAAAATATTCTATCTATCACATATCTAAATAATAACCATTTTTCAATTAAAACAATCATTTGTTACATTGATGCACATATGGTGTAACACCAACATTAGCTTACTTTAATGCTATGTTTGTATAACCTTAGTGAACATACCATTTTTACAGAGTCACAAAAGTGGCATGGGTATGTGATAAAGTTATTTTTTCCACAAGTAATATAAACTTATAACCACTTTAAAATGCTAAATATTTCTATTTAAAATGTTTCTTTGTGGGGGACAGAGTGTGCTATAAAGCAATGAAGGAATGTCCATCTGTATCTTGTATAACTAAGAGAAATTGTCAATAAAAATTGCATCAAGATCTACTTTATTTTAGTAGTACATGTGTGTAACTATGAACTACAGAAATTTCCTTTCATGTAATGAAATGGCATGTAAGGTAATGAGGTGCCATGTGAGTTATTAAAGTGACCTATGAGGTACAGAGTTAACCTTTAAAGTATAAAGTTACCAATGAATATTGACATGACATTAAAATTAAAAAGAGACCTTCAAAGTTTTTAATACAGATGTGAACAATAATGATGAGATAACTTATAAGGTACAGAAATCACCTATGTGAGAAAGATGTTACCCATGAAATAATGAGGGAAACAATGATGTGATAAAGTGACTCATGAGATACAGAAGTTACATATGAGATATTGAGGTGACCTATGAAATAATGAGATGACTTATGGTGTATTGAAGTGACTTGTGACTTATAGAAATTTCCTATGAGTTATGGATGTGACCTATGAGATAATGAGATGACCTTTGAGGTATGGAAGTGATCTATTCATACTCTCTGATTATTATTTCTTGTATTTGTTTAGAGAAGACTTTCAAAGATGATCCAAAAGAGATGCCCACACCACCTAATCATGTTTGTGGACCAAACCAGAATCATATACTGTGTCAGTGTTGCCTTCAACCATTTCCAGATAACAGACTGTTCGGACAACAAAATCTTTCTCCTATATCATGTAAATAAAATATATAGTATTTCTTTTTATAAATGCTTCAAAGCATGAAGTCAAACTTTAGATTGAGACCATATATTTAAAGAACCTGTAGTAACACAGTGTTAAAGTAAAAACTCCTCAAACTGGAAGTGTCCCAGACCAGCATAAATTTCCACTTCAGGGAGGATTCTGGATTGCAGTGTCTTTCTCTTTTGGCAATGAAATTAACTACTGTATCATTATAGCAAAAAAAAATTTAGTAAGACCACATCTCTTAGGATAATGTCATTTGTAAAGTAGTCCAGTATTTTAGTGTTAGTTTGACTATACCATTCTTTATTCAAGAATGTACGAAGAATATCTAACAGTTTTATGTTTAAATTTTAAAGAAAGCTATGGTATACTTAATGAGTTAATTTAACTTTAATAGACTTTAGGTGAATTTAATGAATATAATAACATTATCAGAGATTTCCCTTATATAAACAAAGAAGGATATATTTCACAGCAGATGCACTTGCCGTCTAGGCCTTCATGATTATAATACTGCACATCTGAACTCCATAATATGCTATGTTATAACACAGATCACTAAAATAATCAAGATCTATTCTGTAAATTTATTATGTAAACATTTTATGACATGATGATTTCAGGTGGGATATGCTACAGGTCTTACTGCCATGCTTATTGGGGTTGTAGAAAAGCAGATTGTCTCGGATGTTTAAACAAATTTAAAGGTATTGAAAAAGGCATTTTTTTATATTTCTGACATGAATAATATAGTGGGGGAAGCCTTACTCAATAAGATTTATGGTAGAACATACTTATTAATTGACTGGGGTCCAGAACCCTTAAATCATAAATAATCTCAATTTCTTACAATTAGATCAACGGAGGCACTTAAAACAGAAAAAATATGCAAAAGATAAGAAAAGAATGATATATTGGAAAAGACCCCCAAAATGGCAGCCAGGGGAGGTAATAGTTGCTATGTTGTCACCTTAGTATGGTAATGAGTTAATTCTCATTGACTAATATAATGAGTTAACCCGTTACAGCACGAAGGTGACGATGTGAAACACATGTTATCAAAGTCATGATTTTATTTCACTGTAAAGTCTAGATCAACAACATTCACATGGTTTTCTGTTGATTTATTTTTCCTTTATGAACATTTTGATAATTTATGAGTGGTTCTTGTTTTATAATCAAGCACTGGGAAGTCTAGGATACTGTTCATTTGTCAGTACTTTTTATTTATAATTTTAGAGATGAATTTTGGAAGGAAGGCACTGGTGGGGATCATTCTTGATAACCAGTTTGAGTCAGAAATATTTAGGGTAAGTAATCTTTTTAAAAATTCATTGACATTTAACATATACATTGTATACTCTAATAAATGCCCAGGAACATTAAATTTTCCAAGATGGTTAATTAAGCTACCAAAATAATGGTAAATATTGTAAAACAAAACATGATGTTACTGTACATAATGCATACATTCAAATAGATTTATTTTTTCTGTCCGATTATCATCATATTTATATGTTAAAAGCAGTGTTGAATGTTTCATTCAGATAAGCATATGAATAAATATGTTATGAAACTTTTTCCGAATACTTTTTACGAACACCCACCCCTTGCAGACTTCCCGAAAGTTGAAAAAAACTGTCAGACATTCGGTCTGACAAACCATGAAAATCTGTCGGACCGAAACAAAATCAGTCGGACCAAATAAAATTGATCAAAATCAAATAAAAACTTGTGTGTGTATTTCTAAGACACTTTTTGTTTTTTATTTTTTTGCCGTCAAAATCGGCACAATCCGTACAGCGCATTTTCATCCCCTCCCTGTCAAACATCAATGATTCATGGTTCTGCTTCCATTTTTCATTAAATTTTGTCTCAGGTCTATTCTTTTCATCATTTTATTGCTGTTCTGCGCACTTTTCTGATGTAGATTTTCGGTTTTTCCAAGGTTTGGCACCTTTAGCAACGCCATTTTGTATACATGCGGCTTGGATAAAAGCCGGACAGTCGGACCGATCCGGAATAAAAAATTGTCGGACCTGATCAAAATTTATCAGACATGTCCGTCGGACCGACGTATTTCGGGAAGTCTGCCCTTGTATGTTTTATGTAACTCTGTAGTCACATTTATATCCCACATGTATGTTGCAGGATTATATAGACTCTAAAGGATTATCTGTGAGAGATGTGTTACAAGAATGTTGTAGAGAAATGGATGCCGGAAGATTCACTGTTACAGGTATGAAGTTTTAGCTCAAACAGATAATTACCCAAACAACTGAATGGTTCACAAACATTTTGTAAGAATCATAGCAAAGGTCCCAAGTTCCAAGTGGTGTCCATGTTCATTAAATTAAAACTTTATTCCTGGCCATCAGGCTGATTGTGATCATCTGTAAATTCCCTTCACGAGGCTGTCACTTTATGTATAACAGTAGACACAGTGAATTTATATCATTCACTCAAACATGCTTTCACACTTAGCTGTATTGCTTGCTTTGCAATGTGGAGATCCCCCTTGTGTCTGAGGGTTGCTTTTAAGGGTTGAGGTATCAGAATTGCAGTCACCAATTAACCCTGTGTGATTGTAGAATCGACTAAATGGGCTGGAATAAAAAGAGTCTATGCATCTTTTAGCTCAAGCAGGTGAGGTGGTTTTGAACCCCGGTATTGATTGCTTTGAGTTTGTAACAACCAAGGTCAGCCAAATTTTTTTCCTGTTTTGGCACCATATGACTTAAATTGTGTTGTGCATTGAAAACCAAACCAAACATACAGTGTGGAATTATATAACAAGTTTATGTCTATCATAGCCTTAAATATAATAGTAGATTTAAAAGTAAGTTTAAACTTGCTGATTTATTTATGCTCCATTGTGAAAAACAAGTTCTTACAACATCAGACTCTATCAGTATAGAGTAGACATGGTTGTTGGCCGAAGAAGTGCTTGAACCCATTATTCCTGGTTGAAAGGCAGACACCTTAACCACAAGCCAATTGCTCCTGTAAAATTAACTTGATGAATCATGGAATAATTACGTTAATATGATGTTTAATTCTAAACTTGCTGAATTTCTGAAATGGTTTTGCCCAGCGTTGAATTTGAAACAGTCCATTCAAATTATAAGTGATTTTAATTTTAAAATACAAAAACTGAGCTACTAACAGTATAGAGCTTTGTTAAACCACACACATGCACAGGCTGGTCTGGCTCTATACTTGTGGCAAAGGCTAAACCTGTTAGGTTTCGTAAAGTTATGTTTTATTCTGGACTTCCGTGTCTGTTTTTCAGCACAGGGAACACATCGAATGACGAGTGAGACCCCTGTCTGTTATGCTTGTGGACTCGCAAACTTCAAACAGCTTGCATTACAGTTTAGGAAAACATTAAAACGTGAAGATTTACCAGGTAAGTCAGCAAACATAACTAAAGATTCATTGGCCAAAGTATACGAAGTTCACACAAGTTCTAGGTGGCGAGGCAGACATTTTAACCAAATTGAATATGATAATCCTTATATTTGATTTATTTGCACGGTCTTTGTTTGGAGTTGGCTTTACTGCTCAGGTTTAAATTAACTTCCTATTCATGTATAAATTAATTATGCAGTGAGTATGGTAAAGGAACTCCACTGAGGATTAAAAGCCTAAAAACATAACATTTGAATTTCTTACATAAATGAGCTGGGGCACTTTAAAGAGAAATATATGCAAAGATAGTTTAGAAATATACTTTGAAATAAATTGGAAATCTTATTTTTATGCTTTTTTTTAGCCCGATTTGAGTGAAAAGTGTTTAAAAGCTTTTTATTTTGGGTCATTTTTTACAATTTGAGTAATTGTTCTGGAAAAACAAAGTGCACGAACGATCTAAAATTTTGCACAAAGATTAGTGGTCTAAACCTACATAAAATGGTACATTTATCTGGAAAAAACATTTTCAGTCCCATCATGTCAAAAAACCTCAGTGGAGTCCCTTTAATGAAAGTGTGTGGTTGTTGTTGTGGTTTTTGAAGACAGAAAGCAACAGATCTGTACGAGTGTGTTGTTGTTGTTGTTGTTGTTGTGTTGTTTTTTTTTCATAAAGAAAAGTGTGTTGTTGTGTTGTTGTTGTTGTTGCTTTTTCCCCACTATTTGAAGATAAAAAGTGTAATGAATCTAAATTTTTTGTATATTTTTCTTCAGCCAAGGCTCAGAATAGACCAGATTGTTATTGGGGTGCTAAATGTAGAACACAGAAGAATAAACCTCATCATGCTAGGTAAAAACATAAATCATTAGCCATGACAAATATGTCAACTTGAAAGTAAAATTCAATTAATTTCTCTTCTATTTCTGCTCAGTATCAGACCAAAAGAAATATGTAAACTTTAAAATTATTAAATCAAATTTATATTTGTATGTTTAGAACTGTAATAAGATTAACATAGTAACTCACAAAATGAAAGACAAGTTGACTGCCTCTTTCAGGATGAAAATTATGTTATCTTTTTTACATATGTTTTATAATATTTGTGTTAAAAACCACCTCTGAAAAAAGATGATCTCCAATGTATATAAAAACCATCATTTGTAGCCTTCGTTTACAGGTGATACTGTTTACTGTGATACTTAAAATTTCAATACTGTGATTATACATTTGATATTAGATATTTTTGTTCTGTTATAGGAATTTCAACCACATCTGTGACCAAACAAGACAATTTTAGTGGGAACTATATTTTTGGAACTGTGGTACTTTGGTACTATCTTCAGGTAGCAGCTACATAGTGAAATATAGAGAACTTGTTTCTGTGCTCAGCAAAAGAATTGGAAAGTGAACTGATAAAGAAAAAACTGTTTAGCAAACATGTAGCAAGTTTTGAGACAAATGTAGCAAAGATGGAAAAAAATGTTTTGCAGAAGATTTCCGGTGAAAACAGACTTAGTAGATCATGATTAGCTCATTAAACTGTGTATGTTCCCAAATAGTCTAATAATTATTGAAGTATAAATCCCCAATTTAGTCTTCATAAGTCAAAAGAATTTAATTAAAGAATGAATGTGTTATACATCTTTATAGAAAGAAGTAAAATTGAATGAAAAACTTTTTTCCATGTGTCAAATATAAGTGTCAGACATAGTGGCCAAGTGGTAATGGTCATTGACTTTAAAGTACTTGCCCTTAAACTGGAGTGGGTTCAAAACCCTATTTAACAGGAAGCTAGCTTACCAAACATTGGTGGTTCTACACAGGTGCCTGCTTGTGCCTGAAATTAAAATGCACAGAGGGGCATTTTAGGTCTTCTTCAATAACTTTAGCTTGAAAGACACCATGAGATATTTCAAGTGTTAGTTTGACATAAAACCCAACAAAACAAAACAATTGAAATATAAGAACTAATGGGGAAACTTCTGACATGCCAAGGCACTCCCAATGTTTTGTGACAAGACTGTTTTAGAGCTTAATAATAAGTACACATTAAAAAGATGTTATGTTTAAGAGCTTAACTAATGATTATATGCACATTAAAAAGATTAACATGCTATAATAATAAACACATATAAACAAATTAATTACATTTAACAAATTGTATGAAAAAAGATCTTGTTAAAACAACATAATGATTAGATAGATAAAAACCATGGCAATTATCTGAACCACCACACAATATGATACCAGTATGTTAAGCCCCTTTCTTAAAGTTTTCTGTATGATATTCCACACAGTTATCATGCCACTTTACCCATGAGTCTTCAAATTAAAGTCTACAACCAGGTGGTGGTTAGTCAACTGTTTAATGCATGATTGAGCATGGTCAAAAAGTACAATTATACTCGTTTGATTAACACAGAGACTTCCTGGCATTTTTGGGGGGTTTTTTTGTTTTGTTTTTTTGCTGTTTTGTTTTTACACTTTTTTTATGGATTAGTTTATTACATGATAATATTTGTTAAATTTGATACTTTTCTTTTGTTTTCACATGTTGTTATTTTTTGTATGCAAAATTAGTTATTACATGTTAAAGTGAATTGTTCTTATTCAAGTTTATGCAAATGAGTATGCATTACTCAAACAAAATTGAAACATTTTTTGCCAGGTATAAAAGTTATCTATTTGTAATAATTTTTAATAAAATTTGATAATATGATATACATAATTATATAACTGTGTAAGAATGTGTTCTTAATTAACGGGAAGTATATCATAACAATCATGAATATGCAACATTAGTTTTGGATTCATTAATTTTGTATTATATATATGTTACTGGATGTTTCACCTTAACCTGCTGGAACCAAAAGTGATCAGCCCTTGCCACCAGTACAGAGCCAGAGTAGCTTTTTGTCCCTGCAGCTGACCAGACTTTATACTTCTGTATGGTTACCTGTCTATTATTCTGAGATTTTTTAGCCAAAAACGTAGTAACAGGGACAGGTAATCCAGACTTTACTTTTGGTAGTTCAATTTGATATATTTAATTATTTATATTAAAATTCATTAATTTTCAAATGGATTGTTCCAAATTTTAAGTAGGACAATTCCATTTCTTAAGGTTTTTTTTTTTGTATTTTTACATTGAAATCCATTCATTTTTCAAATGGATTATTCCAAATTCTGAGTAAGGCAATTCCATTACTGAAGTCCAGCAGGTCAAATGTTACATCAAAAACATTTATAAAATTCTTAGCAGAACATGGGTCCAAGTTAATAAAAAATAATCTCTCAGCTTAAACTCGGATCTCAGGTATTTGATTGGTCAGAAAATTCCACAGAATGTACTTTGACCAATGAAAATCCTTTGAGAAAAGTCTCAGAAAAACGTTTAATAACCTCGTGGCCTGGCTCATTTTAGAGTTGATTCATTCATTGATTTGTTTATAATTGATTGATCAATCAATTCATTTATTGATTGATAATGTATGTTGTTGAATAGTTAGATTTTAGATACATTACATTTACTAGAAATCATGTCACTGAGATTTTAGATACATTACATTTACTGGAAACCATGTCACTGATCATTGTTTTATAAATCTATTACAAAATTGTTTTCATTGCAGTATTTTTGACTAATTTATTTTTCATTCAAATTGTATGGAATTTTAATCCGTATTTTGTAGGCATACCATTGTTTTTGAAAATAAAGAATTAAAGTTTTCTGTATTTGTCTTTAATTAATGATCATTTATCATTAAAAATGTAATCATCAAACATAATTGTTTTGCCCTATACATCAAGCTTGGATGTAATATGATGATAACCCATACCAACAACATAGTGACTTAAATTTGCGGTTTGTAGTGATTAGCGAGTGATTTTCACACTGTAATTGTTGTTCAGTAAAACATGATCAAGGATAAAGTACTCCTCATTGATTAATATTCATTGGGTAAAAAATGCTCAGTTAGAAATGTTCACGGTATAATAAATGTAAAATGAGTAATGAACCAGGAGTGAGTAGTGCTTATTGAAAAATGTTCACTGAGTGAGAAGTTACAGTGAGTAATGACCACGGAGTGTAAAAGTGCAAGGAGTGATGTTCTCGGAGTGAGAAATTCGAAGTGAGTAATATTTACCGAACTGAGGAGTGGTCAGTAATGTTCACCGTAAAAATTATATAAAAGATAAAATGCCAATTGAGAATTTTTTAAAAGACATTCATCGTTTCGGTCATTCATCATACAAAATATCAGACTTATCACAAATCTGAAAACTTTTTTGTTTACTCAGTTTGGTAAAAAAATCCCCAATGTAAATTGATATATAATGCAAGCGTGTCAGTCCCAACATTTTATGTAACTGGTATAATTTGTGTATATCATTGTGTTCATGTATATAACTGGTCAAATTCAAGATCACGAACGTTTCATGCATCAAACATCATTCTGATCATTGGCTACCTGTGGGGTATTTGCAACACTGTGCAAGTAAGAAAAATACTTTCTAAAACATAAAATTGTACACATTTAGCAAAAAAGAATATACTTTTTCTAATTCTTTGATATATAACATGATATTTGATTGTAAAAGTAGTAATTTAAGTTAGATATAAACTTCAAACTGTCCAATCAGTAAAATATTGAATCCCTTCGGCGCTCATGAATACGATTCAATATTTTGCATATCAGATGGTTTTCGGGTTATATCTTCTAAAACAGAGACAGGGATGTTCTAATCCCTCAATTGGCATTTCCACCGTTGGCAACAGAAAATGGTGAATTTTCCTTTCGGAAAAAAAAACAGTACGTTTTATATCAGGAAAGAAGAAAACGACGGTCAAAAAAAAAACAACAACAACAAACAAACGACCATGCCACGCGGAAAAATGGTGATTTTTACGAAAGATTGTACGTTTTATATAGTGAAAGAACAAATCACCGGTCAAAAAAAACCGACCATGCCACGCGGAAATCTCAAGGCCATATGTGCCTTATATCGCTGTAAAGAAGAACCTCCAAACTAACAATTTCTAATTTGCAACGAAATCATACATATGGTGTTTCCACGATTTGTAACAGAAAATGGAAAATAACATTACCGTTTATATAAGGAAATAACAAAATGGCGGTCCAAAAAGACAATGCCACGCGGAAATCTCAAATGAAGATAATGAAAATTTCAAGGTTAAGGTGACGAGTATCTATCTGCAGGGAACGGAAAACTCAGATGTCTTTGAGCGATACACTAACAGCGTGAGAATCATTATTATATAAATGGTACTTTAAAAACCACATTTGCAGATATATATCCGCGAGTGCGAGCAAATGATAGTGTTGTTTTATCTTTAGATGACATTTTATTTCAAAAAACGCCTAAAAACTACAATGTGTTTGATTGTAGCTTAAATGAAACTATTTTTTAATGAATATTATTAGAAAGAATGTTGTTTATTAGAATTTTGACAAAGTGAAGAGCAACCATGAACAAGCAAAAAACAAAAACACAAGAATACAAAACCGAATTTTTCAGAATTAAATAGAAATTGAATACAGGACAGAAAGGAGAAAAAAAGGAAATGAAATATCCGAAAAAGATTCTGAAGAAGAATTTACTTCGAATATCTGGGGGATTTGAACAAGGACAATATCAATATGTTGTAGAGAATTGTCTGCTTTCTTCAAAAAGTGTCCCTTTTTATTTATCGTTATTTAGTTTGGGTCATTTATGGTATGGGCATGGTGATTGTTCTATTCAATCATGATCCACTGGCGTGTTACTTTGCTTTGTCATATCTAAAAGCAAAGTTATCTCCCTTTTAATAATATAATCATTACAATTGAATATAGTTTTGGAGCATTAGTTTCGAATTGGCGAGGGTCGAATTTACAAATAAGAAACCGATCTAAAATCAAATTACATATCTGAGCTTCTAAATATCTATACATTCTATATTTCAAGTTTCTGTTGTTATAATCGTCTTTAAAATAATTTGGAAAAATTGTGGTGTTCCTAAATCTAAATGTTTTCAGAGAGAACCTGTGATATATTAATGCATGTTCGATTTGGAAATTTGCTCTTGAATTTGAAGGGGCATACGTGACTTTCTGAATAGTGAAAAATAGGTGCAAAGCAGCCTCTTTTCATGATATTTTCATTGCACATGTTTAGAACAGACAGAAGAAAAGCTCAATGGACAATATAATAAATGCAACGGTCATATCTGTTGTACGACAAAGATTAAATGGTTGTAAATATGTCGTAATCTAGTGTTTTAGGTGAGTTCTATTTACTCAAGGTTAAATTGCAT